TGCACTCGTACTCTTGGCCGGATCCATCAGTGTGTGTGCGTGCGGGTGGGTGCGTGTGGTCTCTGTGTGTGTGTGTGCGCGCGCGTGTGGCAGCTGTTTACCAGGGTTTCAGCTTGTTGCATATCATAGTGATAGCAGCCGCAACCGTTATCACATGCTTTAACTGTCAGCTGAAACAGCAAACAAAGAAAAGCAGACCAGTGTTGGATTGAGTGGGGCATGTTGCAAACCAGTTTTAACACTGCATGCGTGTATCGCGTGGGTTGCTAACCAAAGCTGGTTCGACCAACTTGATTTAAATGCGTTGCTTTAGTCGTCAACCGGCTTGTCAATAATGATATTGCATGCGATTCGAAGACTGTATTCGCCGACTTTACTGGGATGGACATTGAGTCTACTTTTGTCAGAACAACGTTCGAGAGATTCAAGTCATATAAGCTTGTCAATCGTACGCGGAGCAGGAGTGTGCATGGACGGCCTCATACCAACGAAGACGTTCTGATCTCATTGCAGTTTGATATGGAGAGGGGACGCTTTCGTTACGTGCCTGCAAGTATTCTTCCAACAAACCTTTGCAGAGGAAGTGTGATCGGGAGTTGCATGCAGGCTACATGTCAACTGGCTGTGAAGTAGTACCCTGGGCTTAATGTGGTTGCACGTTTCCCGATTAGTTCCAGGAACATGAGCATAACCGAGCATAGCCAGCCCCTGCACCTATCCCTGAGACAATGCAGCACTGTTGATTTTCAGGGGAGTTTGCACGAGTGTGTGTGTGTGTGTCTCTGTGTGTGTGTACAACTTGTTACCACCGGACATCAGTTTGTTTGCTTCGATGCCTGTCTTGCATGTTTCGAAGCCTGCCGTGTGGTGCTGGGGGCACAGGTGCAATCAGCAGCCCCCCGTGCCAACGAAGACGGTTGCTGATTGCAGTGAAACGTACCTGTAGCTGATGGCATGAGTCAATGAGGCAATTTAGGTCAGCTACTGTATGGGTCCCGGGCTCATGAATCATCTCGGACATAGAGCTTGGCTCTGTACAAAAAAAGATGTACTGTAACGATTTTCGGTTCAAGGCTGCAACACACGTCCATGTTTGCACCTGCCTGTCTCTCGGTGTACCTGAGTGTTTGCATCTGTTTGTTGCGTACCTCTAAGTGAGGCGACGCGTGTGAATGGCGTTTAGTTCCGGCCAGTGGAACTTGCTTCAGGCAGAATTCAACGCCGCCCCTATGCAAAATGCTTTGGGTTGGGCCAAGAGCGCCATCACTTCCAAAGAGGGTGCACCTCGGATGCTCTTGGCATTTTTCGGGTGATGTGGGCATCCGGATACAGTCCATCCAAGGCAGAACTCAAATCCGAAGCAGCAAAATTGGCGCTCAAGGCCAAAACGGCGCCATTTGCCTAGCGCGTTCAAAGTTCCCGCTTGTGTTCGTGGAAATCGTCAGGGCACTTAGCCGGCTTATCCCAAGGTTTGAGCATCAAGATACACAAGAGCTCAAAGAGGGAGCAGCCGCCAATGCCCGAGCATTAGTGGGGTTCACTGCAGATCGGCTGCTGAATCGTGTAGATTCAGGACTTCATGGGCAAGTTGAAGGAGCTTTGGGACCAGAATGCCGACGAGGTGGGAATTGCAGATCGGGTTGCCCAGTACCAGTAGCAGGAGGAGGAGCTGCAGCAGCAGCATTAGTCATGCAGGTGGCGATAGCGGTAGAGTTGACTGCATGGTCAGAAGACACGAGGTAGTTCGAAAGATCTTTTGAGGCTGGTTTAGGGCAAAACCAGACTCGAAACAAGACCCAGCAAGCGATCACGTAAAGCGAGTTGGCAGCACAAGACTGTCCCCCAGCTGGAAAGTTGTCCCGTCTTGCCGGCTTAGGACGCTGGGAGGCGGCAAGGTTTCAGTTTGTCATATGCGAGATTGCGACGGGAAACACGAGTACGCTCCAATCCACACTCTCAGCGCCAGCCGGTTCGTCAAGTGCCATCGAGTAGACTTTCGAACGTTGTACTTCATGCATACCAGGTTGATCTCAGTACCCAGGTCTTGACTGATTACAAAAGACGCGGTCGATGGGAGTTGTTCAGGCGGAATGGCAGGCGCAAGAGCGCGTAAACGACCAGTTAAGATTACCTGGCCTCTTACTAGGGCATCATCAGAAGCGATGTCCGTTTACAAGTGATCATCAATCCCCATATGCAGAATCGCTGCTAATCCGTTGTACCGAAAGCTGTGTCGTCGAGCATGCTGTCCTACGGCTGTTGAGCCATCGCGAGCATATACTTTGTTGGCCTGCGAGGAGATGAAGATGAAGGCGGCCGTCCTTCTGAACAAAGCGAAACAGACTTTGGAAGCGAAGGGTGTGAAGGACAAGCCGAGCCATGGCCGTGCTCTGATTTCGGCAAAATGCTGAAGGCCTCGACTGCACTTGCAGTCCAGCTTTGCCGGTAAATATTTGGATCGTTCTTGAAGCTGGACAGCGCAGACCAAGCAAGACATACTCGTGGTGATGGTGCTGGTAGGACTTGCCAGAAAAAGTCGTGGCAGTCGAGAAGCAGCTAGAGGCAGCCAAGGCAAGCTGCTGATTTGTGCTTGTCGGGGTCATCAGGCGCTTGATGCAACGTGGTGATTGTTGCCCTTCGAAACGCAGGATAACTTGGCTGGAGGCAACGTTGATTTGGCAAGAGGCTTGTTTTGGCTTATTGGTGGCGGATTCCGTGTGCATGCAGCCTGAAAGCCACCGTGCTCGGCAGCAGCTGGCTGAGGCTGAGCTAGCATCTGCTGCTCGAGACGGTAACCTACAGGGCCAGGCACGTGCCTTGCTAGATGTTATCCAGAAGCAGTGGTGAGATGGCGCCTGTTGTGAAGGCTGCTGGGCTGTTGAAGATGGCAATGAAGAAGCCTGAGACGGAGCTCCTTGCCAACAAGGCGATGAAGACAAAAAGCTCTTGCATCGCTACAAGTGCACCTGCGGCTCGCAAACACATGGCGCACGGTCACAAGGTCGCATTTAGATGCTGTCGGCGAGTCCGTCTGATCCGCTGCAGGCGGCCGAAACCTTGGAGAAGCTGAAGGCTTCAGGTTTGGACGCGAAGGCGTCATCTCTCCGCCGATTTGCGCCAACCTGCTCGTTGCAAACAAGCCCAGGTGCGGCAGGCATTCCAGCAAGCTGAGACAAAGCTGGGCCCAATTCACGTGTAGTTAGGATATCTTACGCATTCCGGTCACAAGGGAATGATCAGCACTCGAAGCAGCCTTGTTTGCTGCACTCACTCAGTTGGCCTAGTCAGCCAGATCGCTTACGAGTGCAGAGAGATCCTCGAGCTGGTTAATGCCGGAGGCATTAGCGGTTCAGTAGCCACCTTGCGCCGGTAGTGATGAAAGACACGCTCCTGCCTTCTAGCAGGCTTTCTGCACATGTGTTCTGGCCTTGATGGTTTGCTTGCTGATTGAAATTTTTGCGAAGATGGCTCCCGGGATTTCGAGGGAGCAAGGAAGGCGTGACCTGTGGGTAAAAATACAAGTGTGTCATAGAGTCGTACGGAGTCATACACAGTCAAGCTTCTAGAGCTCCCTGGGTCGACACCAGGTGGCAGCCACAGGCAAGTTTCACATGTCAACACAGCTGTTTGTGTAGGCGAATGACCGAATGCAAAGATAGCAAAGAGAGATCTAATAAACCTGCCATGTCGTGAAAGGCAGCAACAGGTAGGTCGACTCGGACAGTAGACTGATTGACTCCTCTTGGGCCTTCGCCGGACTGGGACTCTGCTCCAGCAAAGTAAAGGCGAGCTCGATGGGTTCGCCTTCCAAGAGAGAATGCCAGTGCGCAGCTATGCAGACGCCTTGTCGGCTGTCTTTTCTCATAGCTTCTTGAGTGGATCCGCACCTGAGGCCGACTGGAGGAAGATTGCAGATCTCGCGAAGGACGTCTTGTCGCTCTTGGAGGAGGCCGTGACAGGGATACGATGAAGGGGGCAGGCTCGTACAGCTTGCGCCGACGCCAGGAATGGCCAGAGGTAATCGCCTGGCCGGGGACCTGTCGATTCAGGTGAAGAGACCCCATTTCAAACGCAAGAAAGGCTTGTCTTTGCATGTCTTGGCCGAAGCTTCGCTAGGTTGGTGGTGGGCTCCGGCCCTGCCTGGGTGCTGTACGTTGTTGTCGTGCGAAGGTGTGGGGCCTTGGGAGGATTTGGGCTTTGGGAGGCCTTGGACTGGCAGCAGCAATTGGGGAAAGACTCGCAGTGTTTTGACGTGGATGCTCCCACTTGCGCTTCGAAGACAGCCGAGTAGGACAGTACACAAAGTACACAAGTCGCTCACCTTTAAAGGCCTCGGAGCAGTGCAGCGGCGGCGGTCGCTTGGGCGACGTGGCTAGCTGTGCAGGCGGCTGGGCCCTGCAGCTATGCGGTAGTTATGCGGTGCATGTGCGGTGCGGGAAGCAGAAGCCGCCGATGAACGCCAACGAGGTTTCAACCCAGGGCTTTGGTGCCCTGGATGTGACAAGGAAGCGCGCGCTTGTGGCACTGCAGGCACTTGTGGTTGCTTTCCGTCAGTCACCACGCATCGTTGCGTGTCGGGCACTGCCAGGCTACGCATGAGGTTGCGCAGAAGTCTGTTGTGATGGTCGAGGTGTCGTTTCCTTCCCCTGCACGAGAGCCATATCCGTTGGAGCGAGGCATGGATCATCGTCTTTCTTCCATTCGTTGCGGATCTGTGGAGGCGCGATGTGTGGACATTGATTGCCCAGGCTTTCTGCAAAAACACTGAGCGGTTGTCAAAGCTTTCGGGTCGCAGGCACTCTCGCAGTGCCTGGAATGCCCTCAGCTTGCCAGCTCGGCTTGTGCGCCGACTGGATGGCGATGTTTTGCACTTCTTCAGCTGAGACTGCAGGTACTGGTCGGCGTGCCGGTGGGTCTGTACCTGACAGCCCTGGTTGTCCGGAGGAGCCGCGCAAGCGGTTGAGACCCTGAGTCTAGTCGGAGAGGATTGGGAGTATGACCAGCGCGTACAGGCTGTTGTTGCAGGATTATCAGAGCTTGCCGTCGAAGAAAGGAAGGTCTGCGCAAAGCAATCAAGCAGTGCGCCCAGAGATCTCCAGGGCTCGACGACAGAAGGGAAGGCAGGGTTTCGGCTGTGCTGTGACGCCAGCACTTGCAGTCGACTCACAGGCTCGTTCCAGGAATGTTCTCGCTAGCCGGCAAGCCGACAGCCAACAAGACATACTCATCCTGCCTCAGGTCTGTTTTGTTCCACGGCTCCTTTGTCATGGCATGCCCTTTGCTTTGGTTCTCCACAGGACGAGCTCTCCGAAATTTCATTCATCGCTTGTGCAGTGAAGATGAAGTGCAAGGACGTGTCTCTATCTGGTGGTTGAACGTCTTGCTGACGCATGTGCTCACAACAGCGCCAAGCTAAGCCGGCTCGATGCCCAAGGGCATGGCCGTAGTTCTTGAGTCCGTGTCGGTGACGACAGGTCGTATGCAACTATCTACCTTAGGGTTGCGCTGCCCCTATACCGTTGGCAATTACGGATCATGCTTTTCTGTAGCCTGACTCACGTAGTGCACCTGGGAAGCCTTTCCCTGGATTAGCCTGGATTCGCATGAGTCACAGTCCAATGCGACGACATGGTCAAAGCGTCTCCCTGTCAGCCCCGTTAGACGAGATGGACAGACATATAAAGACGTGCTCTCTCAACACATGCTTTGATCTGGGAAGAGGCTGATATCCTCCCCTCAGCATGCGAATGGTGCAACACTGACATGACCGCAGAACTCTACGCCTTTCCCTCTCGACATGGGTACAACAACCAGCCAGAGTTCGTTCACAGCCGCCGATGCTGCGAAGTATTATTGAATCATTCTTCGATACACAAGAGCAGCGTAGCCACGAGTGGTTCAGAAGGCAAGAAAGCTGTGCAAGACACCCCTGTACCCCTGACGGTGCGACGAATCATTAAAGTACTAAATGCAAAAACGTATCAACAACTGTCCTCAAGACGACCTGCAACATGTACTTTGGTCAAGTGAACAAGTGTTTGTTCCACATAAGCATGGTGTCCAGGTGCCGACCGTGGGCTCACTTGTTGCCCTCGGCTGGCAGCCACTCTTCGACGCAGGGGCTGGCACGGCCTCAGCGACAGCAATCGAGGACATCAAAGTTTAGATTGTTGATCCATGCCTTGATGGGGCGCAAACTCGCGTGTGTGCAGGATGTTCAAGGGCATCCTGCGCTGCCCTGGAGAGCTCCTGGTGCACCTGGCAATGCCAACAGCATGGGGACCTTGGAGGCGCGAAGTTCTGCTAGACAGTGTGGAGCCAGGCGCACCTGAAGCGCCTGGTGTTAGAATGGACCATAGGTGTGTGAAGCATTTGTATGGTTGCAGCTTGTGCGGGTAGGTTAGCTGTAGGCTTTCTTTTGAGTCGCCCCAATCGCCTACAGGAAGTTTGTAGCTCCTTGCTAGGCCAGGAAAGACTGTCAGCATCTGCGCATGCCACGAACAGTAGAGGGTGTGCGCATTTGCATCTTAGGAGTGTCTCGGCATCCATGGGCCGGAGGGTGGGTAATTCGTACATGAGAAGATCAGAGACGTCGGACATTTCCCCGTCACGATTCGTACAAGGCCCATACCCAAACCAACATACCAATATCACTAGGAAGCCTGCCTGCGCTTGCCAGCACCACCGACGAAGTCCACGCGAAACGAACATGACACAGAGCTGTGGCCAATGAAAGCAAAGATGGACTTCGGCAACAGTCGTGCATCGCGTCAGAACAAGCATGTGTGAGTCCATGTGAGTCCGACCTTTTTGAGAAGGCCTGCCGAAACTAGCTGGCTCGTTTGCACGGAGTCGTGAGGAAAAGGCTTGGTTTTACGATCGGCCAAGCCCAGTTGCAGCTTCGGTGAAGGATGGGATCGGTGAAGACGGAGTTATGCCGGCTTGTCATATTGTCGGCTTCCCTTTGCTCAGTGCTTCAGGTCGCCTCGACTGCAGTGAGGCCGCGAAGACGAAGCCATAGGAGGTGCTGAGTGAGGCAGATCCGATGCTAGTCACCACGAGCTTTCATGTGTCCCAGGGCTGCCGTCGACACGCCTGCTGCTAGACCAGTCGCAGCCTTGCCCGCAGCCAGAAGTGTTCGCCAGTGCTGCTCTGCACTCCGCACTGCTCTGCAACCTCCGGCAGAGGCCTCGCCGAGTTCGCTTCGGCCGAAGTCCCGACCAGCTGAGCTGAGCAGCTGAGCAGCTGTGCTGTGTCTGGAGGTTCTCTGTGGGCTGAGGCTATGGCTTTCTTATTGGGCTTCCTGGCCACTCCTTCAGCTCCTTGAGCAAGGCAGGAGCAGATCGGTGCAGGCAATTGCTTCGAGGGCATGTGCTGATGTCAGGATTGCCTGCCCTGCTCGAACTGCAAGTTCTCGGTGTCAAGCAGGCTGGTCTATGGCTTCCTTGGCAGCTTTCATCCTTTCGGTCTGCAGGTGGCTGAAGTGCAATCGCAGTTGAGGAGAGCTCTCATAGTGTATGTGTCAGACGCCGAGAGCAGCGTTTGGTCAGAAAGTCGTGGGTATTAATGCAAAGCAAGGCTTTGGCTTCTGGTGTGGAAGGGGAGTCGTGTTCAGCTCGCTGTCCTGCGCCACGGCTGCCTGAGTTGCAGTGCCTTGGAAGACGGGCCGCGAGGGCAGAGGGCAGGTCGTGTGTAACTGTTTAGTTATGTCATAGTCATAGTCCATGTTCTGTTTCGAGAACTACGGCTCGAGGCGATTCACACTTGGACGCTGCCGGGTGTGTTGGGCTGAGGATCACCGTGCTGGACTCTGCAGCAAAGCATTGTCGGCCAAGGCTAGAGATCCTTCCGGGCCTCCTGGGAGTTCACGGACTTCAGATTCTAAACATGCTGCGAGGCACCACCTAGCACTTTTGCAAGCAGCCTTCCGATGTTCCTCAAACAGCCAGGTGGAACCGAGGGCGTGCCAGTGCCGTCCACAGCTAACATGTTCCTGGCGTGCCTTTGCTGGAAAAGCTCCTAAAAACATGGGGTCGAGCCAATCCATGCCCCCCTGAGCCCTCTGGTTCATGCGACAGGTGCGACAAGTTGCATCGCTCGACGAGTGGGATTCTTTCGGTTTCATTGCGTTCATGAGATGATTGGTGGGTGGTGGGAGGTTAGAAGTTAGATGTTTGCGAATGCTGTGAGAGTTCTTGATTGTTCCCGTGCCATATCTTTATCGAAGAAAGTGCCGGTGGTGTCTGCTGCCACGATAAGCTCGGTGGTCTTCCAAGCAACAGCTGCTGACAGTACTGCATAGAACCCAGACTTCGTGAACATTTGGGGCATCGGCAATCGCGTTTGAGAGCTGCGTAACATCAGTTGGCTTGACACGTCCCACCGTCTCTGTGCATGTATTGTTGTTTCTTGAGTTTCAGGACTGTTGAGTTTCGTCTGGCACTGGTATCTTTTGCCTGCCACGCCTTCACTGCTTTACCCAAGTAGCATCGCTTGACTTCCAGATCTTGGCTGGGTTGTTTCACGACGCATGTTCTTCTCCTGACCCACCCCACTTGGGGTTCAGATTCATGGGAACAGGCACGCCCTACTGGTGTGCAGATCCCACCCCTCCTGTCAAACGCAGGTTTCCATCGGTCAAGGAAGGAGAGATGGAGCATTGTTTGGCTACCACTCGTTGCAGCAAGCGGTTTCATCAGAGCACGGGACCTTCTGCGGTGCAGTCACCACCCAGAGCAGTACTCTGGTGGGCACGACGCTTGAACCCCAAGGCACTGCTCAACTTACCCAGCCAGCATGGCACAGTCACGGCTGGCTGGCTTCCATCTCTCATGACCCAGGTTTCAAAGCATCTTCAGGCGTGGCTGGCGTATATTGGCAGCCGCTTCCTGTCAGCAAGTGTCAGGGCACTGACAGAGGTGTTAGGAGTGCAAGGGCGAGACAGCGTTATCTGAGGGCGCAGCTGCGTGTGCGCTGCTGGTGGCATCAGTTTCCTGGCGCTTGATGCGTGGGTGTTTGTTAGCGTGGTTGGGTCCGGTGCTCATACTATTCTCGGGGCATCTGAGCCAGGTAGTTCTGTTCTACCGGCTTGTCAGCGTTACCAACAGCCGTGACCCCGGGTAAGGCAAATTGCAAGTACATGCAAGTCTGTCTACGCTGCCGCGGTATAGGGGCAAGCTCAGGAGCTCTCACAGCGCTAATCTGGGTCTTTGCAGCAATGGATACCGCAGACACCTTGGCTGCTGATGCCGGCGAGATTCTGCTGGCGAGGACTCGGAAGAGGGCTGAGTCTGGCTGAGCCTGGAGCGCAAGCCTTGGAGGAAGCTTGCATTCTGGGCTGTGGCGATGCTGTGGTCTGCGCTGGTGCAGCTCCCCTTCGTTGGAGTTGGGCTCAGGTCTGGGAGGTTGCGAATGCTAGAGGAGAGTCAGAGCACATGCGAAGATCGTAGGTTGTTCACTCCCGTCGTGTTTGCCTTGCTCATGGTGGCCAGTGAGACCATCTTGCGACGAGTCACCCGGCATTGCATACGGATGATTACGGATGCCTGTTCGAGCGTCGGCGTCTGTTGTATACACGGGACTAACGCATTGCATTCGTGAGTGTTGGTTTGGGTGTGGTGTTGAGCTGCAACTCTACAACGTAAAGCCATATGATGGGCCCCAGGTAGTGCAGCCTCTGCTGGAGCTTCTGACGGCACGTTTGGGTCGGCTCCCGCTTCAACCTGAGCCGTCAAGCATGGTTTGTTCCACTCTCAACTGGACGCCGACGGCTGCAAATGAGGTCACTTGTGCGGCGGAGGATGTCAGGGATGACAACTGCGCTGTGGAACATGCCGATGTGGTTACTCAAGTTTTGGACTCAGGATTGTAGCATGTCGTCACAGCAGCCAGCTGTGGTTGCAGGTGCCTGACTTCCAAAGCCTCCAGGCTGGCTTCCAGAAGCAGATGTTTGTCGACAGCCACGACTTACGTAGTGCCGTCCAAGTGTCTGCGACAGGAGGCACACCGCGCCAAACGACTCCGCTGCGCAGGATGCTGGTGACATACAGCAGCAGCAGCAACAGCAGCAACAGCTGCCTGACATCCAGCTTGTTCCTGGCCAAGGCGAGAGCGGTGTGACAACGATCGTAGAGCCGTCCAACTCCAGAAGGACGAGCGTAGCAAGCTGCTCCTCCCAGGCCCCAAGCGCTAGCACAGTGCCTGAAGGTGACCAGCCGCCACAAAGTCAACCAAGTCAATCCGGTCAACCCAATCAGCCCCATTCCACGCAGCCCGAAGCGGAAGCGCCCGCTCATGTTCTTGGCAGTCCCAGTACTGCGGCCTCGTCAGCTGGCAATCCGAGCCCAGCCCCAACATCGCCAGCAGGCGTGCGTCATCGTGGAAAGAAGGGTCGGCGCAAGTAGATTCTGCAAACCCCCCTCTCCTCCCGATCGGAAAAGTTCTCGCAGATTGATTGAAGCCAGTTCTACCACGGATCCGCATTCGGGTCCATCAAACCCGGCGCGAAGCCCATCCGACCCGAGTGCACTGGACCTGGTGAAATCCTACGACAAGACGACAGCAGGCCGAGAAGCCGCCGAAGAACAGGCATGCATCCCTTCAGCTCGTGGTCAGCGCAGAGCCTGCGTGGCAAAAAAGACGACTTGAGGCTGAGTCATCCGGGCAGCAGAGGATCACAAGTTGCATTTCCATGCTGCACGGCTGCTTTGTCGGGCCTGGCTCATTAGGATATCGGGATTGCATCATGTAAATGTACTCAAGCAAAGCCTTGGCAGTGGAGATCGTGAGAATCGGGGATCGCCGGGATCGCTGCGAAGCGAGAAAACGAGGAAGCAACCACTTCGGTGAACCGGAAATCGTAGCGATGGGCCCGCCGCTTTGGGTGAGCGCGGACGCCGGAAAGGCCCAGCGCTCTGATCTCACTCTGTCCGAGCCGCCTAAGTCCTAACCTAGCTCGCATGCCTTCCTTCATGTGGTTTATTTTTGTTTTCTTCGTTCTTTCTGCAGATTCGATGCAGAGAAGTCTTTAGGGATTGGGGCAACGCAGGATGACGGTCCGCTCCCGGTTTGTGCAAGGGAATATCCGGTGACGCACCAACAAGCAAGGGTGTTGCGATAAGAAAGAACCTTTCCGGCCACAGGTAATGATTATTGTGCACGTCGTTGGTGAAGTGTCTCATGCATGTCTGGATGCTTTGACGTGCTTCGACAGGTCTTTCAGACACTTGGCCAGTGCCGTGCGGAAGCTAGCAGGCGTGAGCTGGTTGCCAAAGCCGGTGAGACTGAAGATGCTGATGAGGCATGGAAGCAAGCCTCAATCACATTGTGGTCGGTGGCACTCTGTGACTATAACACAACAATCGAACCAAAAGAGGGTACAGTCCTGCCGGTCATGACGTTGTCGCTTGAGTCGCGATTGCAGAAAACCGCCGGCAGTGCAAGCAGTGATTGGGGAAGTGGCGGAGAGGAGGGTGCCAAGGCAGCTTTGGAGAAAGCACGCGAGTCCAAAGACTCGTCCAAAGAAGCTCAAGCGCTTCTGAACCTCGCGGCCTTGCAGGCTAAGACTTGGGCTGCCTCCGGAGCAAAGTCTGCTTTGCGTCCAATTGGTGACTTCTTAGAAGCTTCCCTTGCGCTCTTCGAGAAAGAGAAGGACCACAGTGGCGAAGCTGTCGCCTGCAACATGCTCGCGAACTTCTACATCCTGCTGGGTCAAGCCAAAGATGCTGTGAGGATGGTTAAGCAGGGGCTCACTGCCACTCGGGCTTTGAATAGCCGATTGCATGAAGTTCCCCTCCTCCAGACCCTGATGGCGGCGAGCTTCTTGCGAAACGACGCGGACGAATCGCTTCGCGCCAGCTGCGAGATCGCCACAATCTGCAGAGCTTCGAAAGCTTCGGCCGTGGCATGTGCGCTCGCGGATGCTTGCACAGCGCAGGCACATCTTGCCAATGACGAACAAGGGCAAGCCCAACGACTGGCTGAGGCTGCGCTCAAGGCATGCAGGGATGCCAAAGACGTCGATGGCGAGATTCTTGTTCTAGGCGCCTTGCAGGAGATCGCCTTTGCTATTGGCAAGCCTGTATCCGCGCTGAAAACTGCACAAGACTTGCTTGAGAAGGAGCGTAAACGTGGGATCAAGGAGGCAATTGCCAGAGCACATCTCCTGGTCTCCGTATCAGATGCAACTGCAGCGTCATCTAGCGATCTGGCCAAGCAGGCCAAAGACCAGTACGCATCGCTGAAGGGCTCTTCAGTGGGTGAGAGCCTGGCGCTGGTGTCTTTGGCCAGGGCCCTTTTCGCTCTCGGAAAGACCAAAGAAGCTGAAAGCGCTGCCAAGGAGGCAATGGCATCCTTTGCTTCGGAAGTCGGGCAAGGTTTCGCCAGCTGCCTTTTGGCACTCGCACAGCTCCGCCTGGAGGACAGAAAGCGTGATGGGCTTGGGCTCGGGCCTGTTGAAGGGAAAGAGCCGTTCGGGCCGGAGGTAGCGAGCTTTAGAGCCTTTCGTTTCTCAAATCGTGAGAGGATGCTGTGGCAGCGGAGCGCCTGGCGCGAGAAGCCTTGGGACTTTTCCAGGCAGTGCTTGCAGTGCTTGCAGATTTTGCTTTGGGACCATACCCCGGACTTGGACGTGCGAGAAAGTTGCTGTGGCCCTCAGGATGGACACCACCGGGTCGGCCAGGCATTGGCAGAGCTGCTTGTCAGGAGCCCCGATTTCAGATCGGTACAGTTCTCTTCTCCCAGACGTCTCTGACAGACCCATTGAACCGCATGGCGGGCTCTAGCAAGGAAAATTCACGCAAGAAAGCTCGTCGCCGTTTGACATGCATCTCGTGTAGGCGCACTTCTTGAGGATCTCGTTGGGAAATACGGACTGGAGTCTGAGACTAATTCGAGCCTGCACTGCGTGCCTGCGGCAGAGACGATGGGATGCTCGTCGGCTGCAGCTTTTTCATATCTGCTTTACTTGGAATGTCCCCAAAGCGAAACCAGGCGCGGGCAGCTCAAACTGCTTCGCAGGGCTTTGCTCTGAGCGACCTACCGCCGAAGCAGACGTGCTGGTTGTTGGTGCGGGACAGAAGTGGGACAGCAGAGTGCCGTGAAGCATACTGCTCCAGTGGCCAGCAGAGCATCTTCGAGCTGACATAACCGATTCTCATCACCCCTGTGAGACTGCCAGGACCTGCTGGCATTTCTGCAGTACTAGCTTTGCAGCAGCAGAGGAGGTCACATGTGCGCTTCTTGTTGGAAAGCCCAGCATGCACCCAGACAGATCTGAGGCGTGTCGTCTGGGTGGATCCAGAGTTTCAATCGGGGCGATTGAAGCGATTCCTCACGGTGCCTTGCAACACCAAAGTTGACATACTTGCGTTCTGGCTGCATTCATTTCAGCTATCTGTGCTGGAGACAAGAACCGAGTTTCAGTTTCAGCAGTGTTTTGGCTGTGCACGTTTTGGCTCTGTTTGTTATGTGCCGAATCGATCAGCTCTGGCCATGTGCATTAGCAGTGCAGCAGTTGGTTAGCAACCACCGGAACGGTCATGCGACTGTTTGCGTACGTGGGTGGATCTTTGCTGGCCCTGGCTGCCGCAGTGCCCAAGTGCCAAGACATTCACACGTGGCATAACGTCACGGCATATCGTGGCACATGGAGGGCCCAGCTTGCGTCCATCAACGAGAGGGCCCTCTTCTACTGGCCAAACTGTACCGAGATGGGTGCAGCGCCAACCTGGGAGGTCGTTGGTGGACAGCCAGTTCCGGCTGACAGCGCAACCTTTGGCTTCAAAATCGCCGAGGGAGACACTTTCGATGTGAGTTATTCTTTGACACTGGTCCGCAGAACAGCCGAACCGGTCGAACCGCATGCAGAGCTAAGCAAGCAAGAGGCAGAGGCTGGCCCCTCCAGAAGGCTTTTCAAGAGTATGTCATGCGTGTATGTGATTGCAGCAGCAGGCCCTGCACAGCCAGACGTGCGTGCAGAACCTTTCAATGGAGCAACATGCATGTGGGAGAGGAACGAGGGAGTTGGAGAGAACTACCAAGTCGACTTTCCACCAGAAGATGCACTAGATGGTGTGGACGTCATTGTTTGAGCGAGACTGCCCTTGACAAGCTTGGACACGGCTCATCGACTTGTAAGATGTGACTTGTGCAACATCTAGTTGCAGTCCTGCAACAGCGACCTGCAGCAACTCTGCGAATGAAAATCAGACTCAGTTTCTGTCGCTGTGCAATGCAAGTCTTTGGTCGCCTAACTGTCTGTAGAAATTGCAATGTGTCGAAAGCATCGACATTGAATTAGCCATGTTCAGTTCCCCCTGCTCTGCTGCTGCCGGCAGTTTTGGAGCAGCACTTGCTATGCCTATGTTTGACGAAGCGCTTTAACATAATCCCGAATGGCTGCCAAATTCGTTTTAGTTGTGTGCCACCACGATCCTCTAGGCTCTAGGCTGCGCTGATCAAAAAGCATTCGAAGCGAAACTGCGGCTTCAATATTGATGCTGGGATGATGTACAAAGCAAGTTCGCAGGTTACATAGCCCGTCCCGTTCAAGAGCATTTGCATGCTTCGTGCAGCATCAGTTTCAGCGTATTTCAGCGTCCTTCTCACGACAAGCAGATGGGGCATCGCCATTTGCAAACAGGCAGTGGGGGAAGCCAGAGGTCTACAAATTTCCGGACGCTAGAATCCTTTACCGTCAGACGCAAAACTCCGATTCAACTAGCCTGCTGGATTCTGCCTTGGCAGAGGTTTGTGAAAACATGAGGCTGGAAATCATGTGGCCTCTTGATGCTTTCCTGTTCTTGACAGAATGTAAGACGTGTTAAGTAAGGCTGGCACGACAAGTTCCATCCTGAGGCGAGCGAAAGCAACTTTCGACATCCACTCTTGCAACATGCCGCTCGGATCTGCAACCCACAGCAGCTAGCCGGGCAAGTCTTGGGTATCTGCTGAGAGGGGTGGCCCTTGGCACCAAGGAGGCTTTCGTACTTAAATCAAGGGATGTCAGAAAGGAAAACCCGCCGTGATGATGATGATGATGATGATGATGATCAGCCTCACCACCACCGCCACCGCCGCCGCCGCCAGCACCACCACCACCACCACCACCACCACCACCACCACCACCACCACCACCGCCACTACCACCACGACCACCACCACCACCGCCGCCGCC